TATATATATATATATATATATATAATCGTTTATTGTATTATATATATATATATAGTACGTGTACCTACGCATGAACGCGGAAGTGGGCGTGCGTGTGTGTGCGAGTGTGTACGTGCGTGCGTGCGGTGATGCCTCGGGGGTCGCACACTATATAATGACATGTTGCTGGCTGACGTCACGCCTGGCTAACGTCACGCCTGGCTGACGTCACGCAGCTCTCCTCGGCAGCAGCTCGTTTCTTGTCGCCGCGAGTCACGTGAGCTGCGAGAGGGCTTGGCTGGCAGTGCTACTCGTCACCGTCGGCAACGTCTCCAGCGGCTTCTGCTACGGCGGCATCGGCGTCGCCCACGCCGACGTCGCTCCGCGATTCTCAGCCATCTTGGTCGGCATCTTCAACACTGCCGGTTCCGCTTCCGGTATCGTCGCGCCGTACATAATCGGCGTTCTGACGCCAAATGTGCGTGTTTTTCTAATTTATTAATATTTTTATTAATATTATTCAATTTTATTATAGCTATTATTGTTATTGTTATTGTTATTGTTATTGTTATTGTAATTATTATTATTATTATTATTATTATTATCATTATTACTAATACTATTATCATTATTATTATTCAAATTATTCATTAAAAGCTAGCATTAATCGTTTTCGAATAACTCGTTTTTGATTAAATGTCTTCAATAAGTCATAATACAGATAAATGAAAATACATGGCGATTTGCTCACATTCAGTTGTGGTTTAGTGAAAAACTATAGCCTAGCAAATTGTCACGCGATGAACACATTTTCGTTGCTCTCTCCCCGCAGCACTCGGCCGCGGAGTGGCAGACAGTTTTCTACGTCAATTTCGCCATACAAGTGTCGGGCGCCATCTTGTTTGGTGCGTTCTTCTCCTCCGATTTATTACCGTGGGCCGCAGTGAAAAGCGACGACGACGACGATGACGATACCGCGCCGGCGCCGACGCACATGTCGTCGGCGCTTGTCATGCAAAGCATATTTCCGCAGAAATGCTACGACAATAATTTATCGCAAAATGGGAGAAAGCAAGACACTGAATCGACACCAGAGGGCGACCGCCTGTGATAAACGTAGAGCCGTCACGCGGGCATGCAGCAAAGAGTCGCAGGGAAAGACCTAACTATAATCCACACATGCGAGTAGCTCTATACTGCTATACTATATCCCTCGTTGCAACTGCCACAAGTCTATCACACTTGGTGGCACCGACGACGAGAGGTATAGTATTAGAGTGCGCCTGCAACAGGACACGTAGCGACCTGCACCACTCTGTGCAAACCCGCTGTGTGCATGGCGGTTGATTACGGATGTGCATGTATAACAGCACGTATCGGTGATCGCGCACGATACCGATGTTAATGTGTAAGCATCTATGATGAGCACTTCATCTGTTGCTGACTCGGGCGAACGCGTGTTATAATCTGGTGGCGCACATTGTTTGAGGTTGAAACGCAATTGCATGAATGAAATAAATGAATTGTTTGCTGTTTGCATCGATGATGAAAACGATAAATATGAGGATGCTTCAAGTATCAAGTAAAGGATGACGTGAGAAATTGCCAAGCTGTTTTACTCTTAATTCTCTTCTCCAACTACACCACGCTACAACTAATATCGTTACCACTATAAAACAGAGTTCATAATAATGCGGATAATAATCATGAAACAACAAGAGTGAGATTGGTGATAATGATGATTATATTGATGGTGATAATGATGGTTATGTTGATGGTGATAATGACTATTACGATGATAATGATGTCGACGATGATAATGACGATGGAAAAAAATGTTGCCAGAGAAGATAATTTTCTACAGCCTTGCTCAAATTGGTATGGGCATGCCGCGAGAGATGCGCATGGTAGAATCCAATCTAAAAGTTTCCTTTGGCAGCGGCATCTCGCCACAATTCATTCACTATGCCAATGTTCATGGGAAAGGAGCTCGCGTCGCTGGTCGCCGTTGCCAGGCAAGATAATTTTCTTAGATCTATCTTACGCGCTCAAAATAGGCAGGGATATGCGATGAGAGATGCGCATCTAAACATTTCACTTTGGCCGCAGCATCCCGCCAATAGTCTCCTCCCATGCTAGTGTATATGGGAAAGGCGCTCGGGTCGCTGGTTGTCGTTGCCAGGCAGGATAATTTTCTTAGGCCGATCTCACGCGGGCAAAATGGGCATGCCCGAATGGGCAGGCCCACGAGAGACGTGCATGGTAAAATGTTTAAAAAAAAGTTCTTTGGCCGCAGCATCCCGCGACATTTTTTCTCTATGCTAATGTACATGAGAACGATGAAGAAAATGACGAAAACCATTATGGTGTTCCTGATGTTGAAACTGTCGCTGCTGGTGCCGATAATGGCAATAATAAACAAGAACTAATAAATAACAACAATAACAATAATCAAGAAGCAACATTATACATTATACATTATACATTAGGAAGGGCCAGATTATCCTGTTCGGCAACAGCTTTGTGTTGACGAATCTTATAACAACGTGTAATTCATTATTCCATGCTGTGGAACCTTCCACATACCCCACACACACACTTCCATTATAACTAGTCTCAGAACATTTGCCTCGCCCCCCCCCCCACACACATATCCATTATAACTAGTCTCAGAATATTTCCCTCGTCCAATCACCGCAGAGATTATAGTTTTAAAATCTGCGATCACGTGACTACGACAGAAAATGGTTTCAACAGTGGGGATTCGGTCACGTGATGCGCGTGACCTATTAGAAGTGCGCAGGTCGAGTCGCTCACCACCTGCTGTGTCGCACTCACTGGCGCGCCTGCTCTGTGGAGATTTGTTACCTCATACCGCTCGTTGCATCGACAGGCCTAGGAGAGGAATTCGCTCGGGAGAAAATGGTTTGCTACGTGGTCGTGCTTGTTCTCTTCAGTCTGCTTTGTAGGTTATACGCATATATTTAGTTATGTTTTGTTACAGTCATTACGTACATTTAGTACATTCAGTACGAGTTCACGTCGGTGCGTTGTGCTAATAATACGTATAAACGCTATCAAGTATAATTCTGCGTGCACCCCGTTCATAACTCCCAATTGCGGTTACTCTACTCGCCAGTTCTATATAAGCTCTGTATTTATACACAACCTGGTAACTTTCGCCACTAGTATTTACTACCCGTGCATGTTTACCGACAATTGCCGCGATACAATGCGTGTTTATGCTATACAAATGTTGTATTGATACGCCGCAAGTACTGTAACGAGTGCGTCTGCCTTCCGAGCAAGATTTCAGCGAGGCGGTGGTGTTTGTGTGGGTTGCACCGCACTACCGCTTCTCGCAATAGCACCCACGATGCGTCACCGGCGGTTGCAACAGGTGCAGTATGCATATAATTAATCTATTCTCTTTTTCAGCGTATCCAGGCGACGTTACGGCACAGGACATCGACGGTAAGTCCGTACGGCTATTCCTTCGTGTCGGCTAGTTAGTACCGTCGTGCATAATGTGTAACACTTTGCGAATTTGCGATGGCAAAGCCGCTGGAATTTTGTCCGAACATTACTACCTTGATACTGCGACACTAATGTGCTACTGCGCAGTGTTTATCGTGTGATATTACGTGTGGGAATCTTCACCCAGTGCATACATTCGTGCTGAATTCGGTGAAGTAGTCATAATTATAACAACGCAGTAATTAAAAAACTGCTTCGCATTGTGCCTCGAAGCGTCATAAAGTCGTACGTTTGGTTACGTGAGGTTACATTGACATTTCATCTAGGCGGACTAATGAGAATATTATTCACACCGCTCTGTCGTAGAATTCACTCATAATCCCATGCACGCCGGTGTTATCTGCTGCCTTCGTGTTTCCGTCAGTGCGTGAACCTGAGCGGTAAAATGGCGGAAAGACGGGGTTCTCCATTCCGGCATATTCCGTATTTGCAATGTTTGAACAAGTTCACGGGATCGCAAAGCCTAAGGGCGCCGCGGGCTGGGCTAACAGCCGGGTTAGGTTTTAGTCTATGCTTAGTGACTAGGGGTGGTTCTTACATGTAAGAAGTGGCATTTAAGAAGCGGGAAATAACATGGGAATTGAACAAGAGCGGAATTAAATGAGCAGTTTCCCCAACTGACTTCCCTGAATCGGAACTTGGACCATGTACGTTAACCTGCGTTACTGCTGCGCGTCATGTGTGTCATCCCACTAATATCGTAGGTTGTGATTGCGCGCGTACGCACGCTCGGACACGTACGCGCACATGTGCACGTACGCACACAGACATATGCGCGCGCAGGTATGTACAGACACACGCGCACACTCGCAGACGCGCGCGCGCACTCGCAGACGCGCGCACACTCGCAGACGAACGCACGCACACTCGCAGACGAACGCACGCACGCACATTCACAGACGAACGCACGCGCTCACACTTACAGGCGCGCACGCATGCACGCACGCACACACACATACACACACATACACACACATACACACACATACACACACACACACATACACACACACACACACATACACACACACACACACATACACACACACACACACACACACACACACACACATGATATACCGACCACCAAACCATATACACACGGCGCGCAGCACACCTGCACTCACACGCGAGCACCATTACTCACACGGCCGCGCACACACCGCACTTCACACGCGAGCACACACGCTACTTATCACGCGCGCAACAATCCACCTTACACGCGAGCACACACGCACTCACTCACGACGGCGCGCAAACACACGCACTCACACGCAAGCACACACGCGCGCCCGCTCCCGCGCGCATACAGCGAGAGACAAAGTAAGAGAAAACGAAAATTGAGCGACAGAGGGAGACGTCAAAGTGAGGCAGATTAGCAACGGGGAGAGGACCATATAGCATAAGAACAGGAGAGGCTAGCGCAGAGGGAAAGAGGCGCAGAGAGAGAAGAGAAAGATAAACAAAAAAGAACAGTAGAGAGATAGGCTAGCGAGAGAGGGAGAGACGGAGAGAGAAGAGAGAGGGGAAAAACAGAGATAGTAGCTAGCGAGACGAGATGAGAGAGAGAGACCAGAGAGGCGCAGAGAGAAAGAGAGAGGATGCATAGGAGAGACAATACTGAGAGGAGCTAACGAGAGAGGAAGAGACAGATAGAGAGAGAGAAGAGGAGAAGAGGAGAGAGAGGATTAGCGCGCGAGA